GTTCCTGTCAAAATCAACAGCAAATGCCAACAAAAAAACCTAATTCTTGAAACCCAAAATTAGAACCAGAGAAAGAATTCCAAATACGAAATAAAAAAAAAAAAAAAAACCAAACCACAAGCACCAATGGAATAGCAATGCTGCTTGAGGTTTGACAATGAACGCCGATTGTGAAACCACAGAGAGGATTGCCATTGAGGTGCTCAAATCTCAAAATCGAGCTCAAAATTTTCTCTTCCATGATCGACGATCGAAGACCAGATTTTCGAAGATTGAATCAAGCACAGATAAGGAAATGATCATCAGAAACACAGAAGAGCAAAAAGACTCAAAAGTCATGTTCCAGGAGAGAAAGAGAGAAACAAAGCACTAAGCAAACAAACCCAAAACACTAACGTATTGTTTGGATTGGGGATATTGGACGGAGAGGGAGGGGAAGGGATGGAGACAGATGATAAGGGAGGGGGAGTGAGGGGAGGTTTCCTTACTTCTGTTTGGTTTCCAAAGATGCAGAAGGGAGAGAGATCGACGGACTTGGACTAACTCCAATCACCATTAATTCTGCAAATTTGCAATCCTTTTAATTTGGGGAGTTTGAGAGGAATTGCAGGGCTTAAATTAAAAGTAATTAAAAATTAATCTTTTTATTTATTCTCATAAATTATCTTTTTTTTAAGATAAATTTATAAATTTAAAATTAATTTAAATCTTTTTTTTTTATCTTAATTATCAAAATATAAAAAATACAATCTTTCTTTTCCCTTCCTCTTTCTCATTTTTATTTATCCAAACAAAATTAATATAAATTATTTCCTTTCATTTTCTTCCCTTTCCTTTACTTTCCTTCCCCCTGTTTCCTTCTATTTTCCTCCGTCCCCTTCCCTTCCCTTTACTATTTTCTATCCAAACAGTACGTAAAAGTTAGCTCAAACCGCTGAACTCAACTTTCCCTTTTGATGATCGAGGACCAGCACTAAATTTTGCAAGAAACAATCAAACGCAAAAATGGAAATAGACACTGCAAAAACGGGAAGGGTAAAAAGACCCAAAAGCCCTACTTCAATGGAGAAAGGAAGTAGCAAAGCCCCGAGGGTAAAACAGAGAAACACATTCTTTCTTCAAGGGTGGAAGAGGAGAGGTCATGAAATGACAGACATGCCCCCCATAACAGGTGAAATAGAAGAGCAAAGTTTTAAGGGCAAAAGTGGAAGCTAATATCAAATGACAAAAAAACCACTCATGACTTGTGAAATAGAATGAGAAAACTTAGAGGGCAAAAGTCGAAAAGTAAAAGTTACTGTAGCAATGTGAGAGGGTGGCTCCCTCCCATTTATTTATTTATTTATTTTTTTATAAGAATAATAATTAAAAAATTAATTTAAATTAATTGTTAATAATTGAGATTCAAATTTGAAATTGAGTGAATATTCCATCCTTTCTCAAACGAGACACACAACCATCATGCTACTTTTTAATAGAATTAACGACGATAATAAAATTTAAAACTTCAACCACCTCACTTAAATACTTAAAAATTAAGTCGAATCATTGAGTACAAATTCCCGGTTCCTCCCTCCCATTTACTTATTTGATTCTCTTTGTTTCATTAGCTCTGTAAGGCTCTGGGTCTGGGGCTCTGTGATGAGTATAGTAATAGTAAGAGAAGAGTAACCTGTAAAATTAAAAATAAAATTTAAAGCTCTTCTTGTTTGCTTCCCCCATCCCATCAACCAGATCTCATCTCATCTCTTCTCATCATCAAATGTAAGTTAAATGCTAAATTTGGTCCCTCAACTTTAGTGAGTTGCACATTTTTAATCTCTCAACAATTTTTTGCACTTTTTTGATCCCTCAACTCTAAGAAATGCACAACGTTTGTCCTTCTGTCAATTTCGACCGTTAACTCAGCCACGTGGCATTTTTTATTATTTTTTTGATGACATGGCAATTACAACATAAAAATGTGTTGAACTAGACTTTTTTTTTATGACATGTCATCTTCTTCCTGCACAACACCGTCTCACGTTGCCTGCAAACCACCAATAAAGATATGTGAACCCTAGAATGGTCTCTCATCTTCACTCTCTGCAAAATCAATCTAACTCAAGTTGGGTTGCACTAGCAGTAAAGTCCTCACAAAATAATGTCTATGAACCCTATGAACCCTAGAATGCTTCAAAGGAGAATTTGAAATTCTCTACCATTGAACCCAACTACTGGGTTTCATTGAAGCCTCAAACCTAACATAACAGATGTTATCAAATCAAACTAACGCTTCAATAAACAATATCAATCAAACTCTAATTAAATTTCAACAAAAATACAATCAAACTCTAATTAAATTCTAACAAAAATCAATCAAATTGTAAATCAACAATGGAAATCACGTCGAAACAGCAAGGCTAGGTTTCGATGAACCCAGCCTTGCTAGGTTTCAACCAAACCCAGCAGGGTTTCGACGAAACCCAGCAACGCTGGGTTCATCGGAACCCAGGAGATCTGGGTTTCAATCGAACCCAGCTTTGCTGGGTTCCCCATGATGGATCAAGCGCAGTCACATTGGAGCCAATCTGAGCATCCCTTGAGCCAACACAAATCAACCCAAAATCAACGAATCTATCAAAGAACCCATAATAGCACAAACAAGAACAGAAGCAAAATCAACATCTGGAAAGAAAGTACCCGTGACCCAAGAGACCCACATTGAAGTTGGTGAGGAAATGGCAAGCGCAATCTGCTTCAAAAACATACCGGTGACGTTCCTCTTGAGCTTGGAGTTATCCATTGGCAAGTCATCGCTAAGCAAGAAAATGAGTAGGAGCACGCAGAGCCTAGAGCCCTCCATTGGCTACTTTCCCTCTTTACCAAATGTTGGATGTTTCTATGTTGGGTTCCGATGAACCCAGCTTTCCACCAAACCAGGGTAGGAAAGAAAGAAAGAGAAAGAAAGAAGGGGAAGAAGAGGGATTGGGAGGGTAAGGAAGGCTGGGTTTTGCCTACTGGGTTCATCTTTCCATCGACCAGGGTAGGAAAGAAGGAAAGAGAAAGAAAGAAGGGGAAGAAGAGGGATTGGGAGGGTGAGGGTAAAAAAGTAATTGTATTTGTTTTTAATTAAAATAAAAAATATTAATCTATGTGGTATTTTTATAATATAATTATAATATATATTATTGCCACATCATCAAAAAAATTAAAAGATAATGCCACATGAAATTATTTAACTGTCATGTCATATTTAACTGACGAAAGGATTAAAACTGTGCAAGTTTTAGAGTTGAGGGATCAAAAAAGTACAAAAAATTGTTGAGGGACCAAAAATGTGCAACTCACTAAAGTTGAGGGACTAAATTTAGCATTTATGTAATTAATTGTAAAACCCCTCTTTCTTTCCTTCCTTGTGCAAATTAACTGCATCAAAGAGGCAGGCAGGCAAGCAGGCAGCCATGTCTGATCCACCCTCCCTCCACTTGAAGAAGGAGCTCACCCAAATCCGAAAAGCTGCCCGCCTCCTCCGTGATCCAGGCACCACCTCCTCCTGGAAGTCCACCTCCAGATCTGTCCTTCCTCCTGCTTCTACTTCCACCTTTTTCACAAACCACTTCAATGCCGGCCATCATCCCCCTCCCGACCTGGAATTGCCCAATGCCAAACACAGCGCCGTCTTCTTGCATAACTGGAAGCATCAGAATCACAAATCAAATCATCAGTTCGATGACGATGCTCATGTTGATGCCGCCTCCTCTTCTTGGGTTCAAGACGAAAGCTTGAGCGATGCCAGAAACGGTGCCGATTCCAAGAGTGACAACTATATACCGACCCTCGCTCTGCTTCCCTCAAATTCAGGTGCAGCGATGCAAATCTTGTCTCTCCAAGACTCCTGCTTGGCTCCAGGAAAAAGGGTAAGAGAAATACTACTACTACTACTACTAGTTCTTATACTAGGTACTATAATCGTAATCCTCCTAGCAATGTTGGCTCTTGGGATGCCGCCACTACTTCATTCAACGATGGTGATGATGAGGTGGATGATCCCTTGGATTTGCCTGCCAGTCAGGGATGTGGGATTCCTTGTTATTGGTCCAAGAGATCCTCAAAACATAAAACTTTGTGTAGGAGTGGTTGCTCTATCTCCCTTCCTGATACTCTCTTAAGGGGGAAAGGCACTAGCATTCTTTGTGGAACTCAGTCGGTGTACACTGGACACAGACGTTCTACCTCACTCTCCAAAAAGCGCTCAACCCAACCCCATCCCCATGCCCAACCTCTTCTTCCATTGCTTACTGGTAGTGGTGGAGGTGGGAGAGGAGGTTCATCCCTTGTAATTTATTAAATAATATATAAAATTATTAAAAAAAATTATCAAGGTTGATTGAATTTGAAATCCAAGGGGAC